GTGTCTGAGCCACTCAAAAAACAATTACCACCGCGTCACACAAGAGGTATTCCTAAATCCACATATGAACCCGACCTTTCTAGTAAAGTTAAGTATCCCATGAGCAATTATGTGTCGAACCATCGTTTGTCAGAATCAAATTTGTCATTTGTAAATCAATTATCTATTGTATCTATTCCTAACAGTGTGCAGGAAGCCTTAGCTGACCATATGTGGAAAGCAGTTATGAACAAAGAGATGAAATCCTTGCAGATAAATAAAACTTGGGAACTCATTGATAACCCACCAGGAAAGAAACCAGTTGGATGTCGATAGATTTACACTATGAAGTATAAAGCCGATGGCACAGTTGAAGGCTTTAAAGCAAGATTGGTGGCGAAAGGTTACACCCAAACCTATGGAATTGATTACACAGAGACATTCGCACCAATAGCCTAAATCAACACAGTTCAGGTCTTGTTGTCTTTAGCTGCGAACTTGGATTGGCCATTGCAACAATTCGATGTGAAGAATGCCTTTCTGCATGGTGAATTATTTGAAGAAGTCTACGTGGATCTCCCACCAGGATGCATGATACCCGAAAAGTATAATCGGAAGGTCTGCAGGTTAAAGAAATCATTATATGGGTTAAAACAATCTCTAAGAGCATGGTTTGGAAGATTCACAAAGTCTATGATAGCTTTTGGCTACCGTCAGAGCAATTCCGACTACACAATATTTATGAAGAAACAACAGGGTAAGATCACTGCACTCATTGTATATGTAGATGACATGGTGGTTACAGGGAATGATCCTGAAGAAATGAAGGCTCTCAAGAAGTACTTGTCCAGAAAATTCGAAATGAAAGATCTAGGTTCTTTGAGATATTCTCTTGGGATTGAAATATCTCGATCTAATAAAGGAATCTTTATATCTCAAAGAAAATATGCCTTAGATCTATTACAAGAGACTGGCATGACAGCATGTCAACCAGCTGAGACACCAGTGGAAGAAGGACTGAAATTATGTGTTGAGTCCAATCAAGTACTTGCTAATAAAGGAAGATACCAAAGACTTGTAGGGAGATTGAAGTACTTAACACACACGAGACCGGATCTGGCTTATGCATTGAGCATTGTTAGTCAGTTTATGCATGATCCTGGAGAGCAATATATGAATGCAGTTATACGCATTTTGAGGTATTTGAAATCTGCTCCTGGAAAAGGAATTTTGTTCACTAAAAATGCTGGTTATCAAAACATAGATGCATATACTGATGCTGACTGGGCTGGAGCTATAGATGATCGGCGATTTACTTCTGGTTACTTTACTTTTGTAAGAGGTAATCTTGTTACATGGAGAAGCAAGAAACAAAATGTTATTGCTCGCTCAAGTGCCGAAGTTGAATTCAGAGGTATGACGTTTGCACTTTGTGAAACACTGTGGTTAAGACTACTCTTACGGGATTTAGGTTATTTACCTAAGCAACCTATTCGACTATATTGTGACAATAAAGCAGCGTGTGATATTGCCCATAAACCAGTTCAACATGATCGTACGAAGCATGTCGAAGTAGACAGATTCTTCATTAAGGAGAAGTTGGATGGGAAAATTGTGGAGTTGCCTAAGATTCGACCTGAGGATCAACTAGCCGACATTCTCACCAAAGCAGTCTCAAATCAAGTGTTTTTCAAAATTTTAGACAAGTTGGCCATGTGTGACATCTATGCACCAACTTGAGGGAGAGTGTTGAGATTTTATCTCTTATAGTACAGCTGTAGGATTGAAATATTTCCCCCCTGATTTAGGGCTGATTGGTAGGTAATTTGTTACCTATTTTAGTTATGTCATATTCTATAAATTGGATGTAACACCATGAGTAAAAAATATCGAATATAATTTCTGAATTTCAAGACTTGACCCTTTAGTAACTCACATAGAAAAATAAAAAATAAAAAACTCACATAGATTTTAATGCACCTACCCATATGAATGTTTATGCCATTGTTTTTATTTTTTAATTTTTTTGGGGGTAAGTCAATATATTAAAAAAAAAAATGATAATTACAGAGAGGCATAGCCCAGAAAACAAAAGCCCAAAGGCCAGAAGCCCAACAGACAAAGCCATTGCTTCACAAACATTTCCAAAAGAAAGGCAACAAAAGAGAACAAAGCAACGATGGCTAATAGCATCTCCAATGGCCTCTCAAATGGGCTCTCAAACTTAAAATATAGCAGGTGGATGAAAATAAGGCACTTCAATAGCCTCTTAAAAGACCTCTTATAATTTGAAATTCTCAAATATATTCTCAAATATAGCAGCTCTCAAATGACCTCTCAAACTTAAAATATAGCAAGTACATGAAAATAGGCACTTTAATGGGCTCTCTCAAAAAAGCTCTCATATTTTGAGATTGTCAAAAATTGCTAAAATGAAAATAAGGTATTTCAATGGGCTCTCAAAATATAAAATAGTTGTGTTAAAAAATAGCATTTTGGATGAAATGCATTATTGGAGCAAAATTACAAAAATATAGTATTTTGACACTGAACTCCTCTCAAAATATAGATTTGGCATGAAAATATAATATTTTGCATTGGAGATGCTCTAAGAAGATTGTAAAATTTATAATATAGAGGTCCAATTCACATGGTTATGGTCATGTCATTTGTGAAAATCTTCTTGTGGTTTTGTTAACCCTTATCACGTGTTGTTTACGTGCAAGATTTTGAAGGTTTAAATCTATTGATTGAGTTTTTTACGTTGACTAGTTTGAATCGGTTCAATTGGAGGTGCAAATTTAACTTTGACTATTGTCAAAGTTGAATCGGTTCATGGTTCAAGTATTGCGTCGACTTTTTCTATTACGAAATTTGAACCGGCTTGTTGAACCGGTTCAATTCCCTTCGAAGTTACGTTAAGTAATTTCCTTATTGGTTTTGGACTCTACAAAAGGCAAGTTCTTGTAGAACAAGTTGTGTTCGATTATTTGGGTCAATATATATATCAAACATAATCAAAATTTAAGGTATGACTTGATGATGAGAGGATTATCATATGTGTGTATGATTGATTAATTTGTGTCAATATAAGAGAGAGTAATTGAAAGATGTTAAGAGAAAACACTTTATTGTAATTCTCTATAGACGTAGCCATATTTTTTGGGTGAAACATGTCTATCTTATATTTTTATGTGTAATTATATTTTATTCTTCATGATTGTTTGTATTTATTCTTCGAACAACATTATTTTTTGTGTTTCCGCTGTAACAAATTTTAATTAAAAATTTAGCCTTAAACCTCAAATTATATTTAGCCAACACTAAAGAATGTATAGACCTCATTTTCAAAAATGAAATAACATCAATACCATACCGGAATTTTTTTTAAAGAAAAAAAAAAAAACCCTACTTGAGAAGGGATCTGTTCTGGTTTAAGTTGAGGTTGTGGCGAATATGTATAGACCACATTTTTTTTTTTTTTTTGGGAATTTTTTGCAAAATTATACATGATGGTTGTAGTACTCTATAGAATCATCATTATTCATTAATAAAATTATAAAATATTACATAGAATTCAAATTTTCAAAATTTGTGAATTTGAAGTTATTATTATTTTTTTATTTTCATCGCTTTAAAGTTTTGAGTTCATCATAAGCGCTAATAGCTAGAGCAATCAAGAGGGAGATGCGGTAGTGAACCAACGTGGCCACTATCTTCCTCTTTGAGTTGAAACAACTCTCTAAATATTACTAAATGTTTTCTAAGCTATTTACTATGAGTCTATTAGCATACACAACTCGAGCATTTTCGAAAGAGTAAAAGAGAAAATCAGGCATCACATGCAACATTACTTTATGTATGTTGGATCTTCGCAAACGGTAATTTGAGAGGTGTCTTTGCTCAAATTGTAAAGAATAAGGGGATAAATAGTACAATTTTTAAAATATGGGAGTGAAAGTGCTATGCGAAATATATTTTTAAGGGTGTTTTATGCACTTTACTCTTTTTAATTTTTTCAAACTCACACACAAAAAAGAATTGAAACCTTTCTTGAAGAATTGAAACCTTTCTTGATTAAAAGTCATGAATCAATTGTCAGAGGTGAATGCCAAAGGGGAATTGGGATTTCAAGATATTCAGTCTTTTAATCTACCTTAACTAGCTATTACAATTTTTATTAACTAGCTCTTGGGCTTGAAAGGAAGAGTTGTTTGGGAACAAGTGTTGTACGTGTTGGAAGGAGAGTTGGCTCATGGACTGTTGGGATTTATATGCCCTGGCATAGCAAATTCCTATTTGGATTAAAGTGACATATGTTCCTGACATATCTGAAATATTTATGATTTATATAATTGGTGAATTCAATGTATTATGTTTCAATTTATTAAGGAATTGATAGTGTCCATTTGATAATAAGAGATATTTATATATGTTTGTGATGACGATCAATACATGAATATAAATGGTAATCATAAATGGTTCATAGTCGGTAATTATGGATGGACTCGTAATTAATTAAGACTTGAACTGGATCCGCGTTAGGTATGCAATTGCTCCCTATCACCGTCATGGCATTTGACTCTTAAGAATGAGAAAAAGTATAGACTCTTTTATTAATTAATAATTACTTTGATTTGTTCGGCGGATTCTTCGGGATCCTTAGACCGACACTTGTGATTAATTAGGGCTCCGTTATTGAATTTCTTATTCCTTTTTATCTTCTTCTTTTGTTGGATGTCTAATTGTTCGGTGACACTTTTCCACCAATTTTTGCCAACTCCACTTTCATATCAGAATCTAAGAACAATATACATACTAAATACAAGAAGAGAAAAATATAAAAATGAAAAATAAAGACATTTCAGGTATTTTAGTTGTTAAATTGACATAATGTACTCATCTAAATTATTGAAAGGTTATTTGCACAAAAGGGATATTATCTCATTTTGTATATAGCAGGGTCTTTTTGCACTTTAAACTTTTAGATTTTCACTAATTTTTTGAAGAACAATGCTTACCTTAGGCTACATAAGAAAGAACTTCCTTCTTATGCTGATGTGGCCTAATAAAACATCAACAAGTGTTAAAGTTTTGAAAGGAAAAAAAAAATTATGACTATAGGGAATAGAAATTGATCCTTCCCTCTTTCTCTCTCACGCAGCTATATATATACAAATACACACACACATACACACACACACACACACACACATATATATATACATCCCTCCTTTATCTTCAAATGACCTTCAGCATCTGTCTATGGCCGCGACCTCCACTGTCCGTCCATGGCCGCCACTGACATTGCCACCGTTCTCTCCACAACAAAATATTTTTCCCTTACAACCACCTCCACCGTCCACAGCCACCGCCACACCCGTTCTCTCTCCAATCCACCTCCCTCTTTTTTTTCCCCTCTCTTTGCCCTCTAACTCCGGCGATAACAAGAACTTCAAAAAGGTGGGAAATCATTTAACACAGATTTGCTTTTGTTGACGAGATCCGTAGACCTCCAATCTATTGCAGAAGATGTGGCAACGATTGTTGAAACCTAGGGTTTTAAAACCCCATATACTTTCACCAAATCCACCATATGATCTGGAAAAAATAAAAATAAAATCCACTACACGTGTCTGTAATTCCTTTCTTTCTATCGTTTATCTTCTTTTACAACAAATCCACATCTTGAATTCAATCAATCTCAACAATCATTGTTAGTTACCAAACTCAAGACCAAGTCCTCGCCTGCAATTTCTAGGTTCGTTCTCGGCATATGATGCTCTCAATAGAGAGAGAGGATTTTGACTCCCAACATCACTGTCAATGGAGAGAGACCTATCTTGATCCAAATCTGATCAACCCCAATATAAAATTGATTAAAATTGGAACCCTTTTGATATTTATCATATTTTGATGTTATAACTTCACAATTTCCTCTAATCTCATTCAATTTCTTGTTGGCCAGGAAATACTACTAATGAGATGGAAAGAGAGAGAGAGAGGGGGTGGATTAGTTTTTATTCCCTGTATTCATCATTTTTTTTAAAAGAAGTTTAATACATGTTGATATTTTATTTGGCCACCTCATCATAAGAAGAAGGTTCCTTCTTATGTGGCCTATGGCAAGCATTATTCTTTTATTTCAATCTGTAATGTAATAAGAATGTAATAATGCTGCCGATGAGGTCGTGGAATCCTATTAAGAGCTCGGGCAAACTCTGAATAAGAGGGAAAAGTTGGGTCCATAAACCTTCTTCTTCGGACGAGACGAGGAAGAACTCTCAGATTCCACCTCTGCCTACTCACTGATGAGAGTCCTTTTTTATTCAATTAGGGCATCATTAAGGCGATGTTTATTTGATTCTAATATTCATTCTATGTAGAAGGCAGAAGGGTGGGCATAGTCAATTAGGGAGCCCACAGAAGAGCGCGCCAGAGTGTAAGTCTGATTTTTGAAATTGTTTTAAGAGGCCACATATTCCAATCAAGAAATAACCTCTAAAGTTTTGAATTCTTTCCGAATTCTTATCGGAAGAAAATTAAGTTGCCAAAAATATTTATAGGGGTATTTCGCAACTGGGTAATAGTAAAAGGGGTTTTTTTTTTTTTTAATTCGCACTTTTTTAATTTTTTTCTTTTTCTGCTTTTCTTTTCTTTTCTTTTCTTTTCTTTTTTTTTTTTTTTCTTAGAATGTTGTTCAAATTTTGAGCATGAAAAAAAAAGTGTAACAACTCGAACCCGAGGGTCCAAATTACTAATCGGGTCCTTATCCGAACCCGAGGTCAACTAAGGGCACTACCGTCCTTTCCTATGTCGATACACAATACGATTAATAATAATAATAATAATGATAATGATGGGATCATAGCCATAAAATATGTCAAAAACAGTCCACTAACCCGTCAAAACCTGTAGAGGAGCGTTGTCCGCCACTTCCCTTTCGTATCCTGAAAAATGTTAATAATAAAATGGGGTAAGCCAACCGCTCAGTAGGAAGTGTCTAAGAAACACTTTTTACGACCCCGTGAATCCATACAAGGAGTAGAATACAAGTAAATGGGATTATGCCTTGGGGAAAGTAAGTAAAGCAACGATGATATCAACAAATATACGCAAGTCGTGTAACCACCAAATATACAATGTATGCCAATGCAATGCCATGCCATGCAATCTCGCTCCCCCTTTCCGAAACAATACCATTTCAACTTCCAAACCATTAGTGCAATCCGACCCAAGGCACCTCCAAGGCGTCACGAATGGAGGGTTGACTAACTATCCACGACCACAAGGCACCTCCAAGGCGTCACATCTAGCCTAGTTAGCTCAACCATACTCCCTTCTAGACTACACTAACAACATGGACCACTAGGCGCCTCCTAGCCGTCCGGTTTTCGCAAACACCTTTAAAAATATTTTCTCAAAAATAATTTCATTTATTTTTAAAATAAACTTTTCCCTTTACTTTCCCAATGGTAATGCATGAATTATAAAATTCCTTCAATGCTATGATAATATAAAAATTTCGTACATATCATTCACATCAATTAGACATGTTTAAAACATGAATTTCCACACAATATCACATTCTCACATTTCTAATTCATGGCATTTTACATTCTTTCAATTTGCAAATCTAACAACTTAAATACATAAGGCTTAAATTAATATCATTTAAGCATGTATCATTTCAACAACGTGCCTATCACATAATCACATACTTTCTACAACAAAAAAAAAAAAAAAAAATCATGTATACAATATATAAATTACATCTCAAGAATTTAGCACAATATAAGCATGCTTGTACATTAATTAAAGGAGATTTACTCACAAAGCTCAAAGAAATGGGTAGTAGAACACCCCTACCTCAATTTTGTAGAAAACCCTCAAATGGATTCAAATTTTTGGAATTCTTAGAGTGGCTAAAAACTGAAATTGCTTACATCAATTTGAAGATCTCACCGAGCTCTTCGATGCCGCAAACGGCACCCAAAAACTCCAAGGAATGAAAGAGAAATTGAAGCTTGAATTTTGCACAAGAAAAAAAAAAAAAAAAAAAGAAAATAGAAAGGGGAAAGAGAGAACTAGATCGGGATAGAGAGAGATAAGGTGATAATGCCCTTTTGGCCAATAAAAGCAATTATGGTGGGTCCTACAATTTTCTTTTTCTTTTTCTTTTTTAACATTAATTCTACACCACACACACACACACATATATATGTATCATAAATATTACAATCTACCCTCCTTAAAAGATTTCGTCCTCGAAATCTACCCTCTTTAAAGAAGGAGGCCCACAACCACACACCTTTCCAAGAACACCTCACAAAACCCCAAAACCATGAACTCACCAACATTATTGCCTTTGACACCGGACGTCACCAAGCATCCCACACCACAATGCTCACCACCCGATGAGGGTACTCATTACTCACGACATCAGAACACGAGACCAATTAGGCCCTATACCTGACTCAAAACGGACATTGGTCCACTCTACACTACTACGCAAAACTCCGAAGCCTAAAAGAAGAATGGTCTCTAGACCACCAAACATGACAATATCCAATCTCAACTCCTCCCTAAAAAGACACACAAAACCCTCCAGACAAAGAACCCCGTCCATCTCATAATTAAGCTCAACTCTAATCTACACATCTCTATCAGACTGAATACTCACTACCTAACACTTAACTACACCATTACATACCCGTACAACAACTACCAACCACACCAAGCGGCAATCACTAAACTTATCATCCCCAAGATGACTAAATGATGAATCTCCCAATGACTACATAATCATGAATCACCAGAACAATAAAACAAATTATCCTGTACCCAGGTCACAAATCCTTAAAACAAAATCTTCAATAATTAATGATCGAATTGCAAGCCCTATACTAGACACTTGGTACTACCTAACACACTTGAAACTACCTAACACACTTCATCACCCAAAACAAATCATCCGAATCCACACTGTCACACCGACACAACGCGCAATACCGTGCTCTCACTATCCCTGACAAATTGAAACAATCATTAACCTTTGATCCGACATCGTGCTAAGAGGGACTGATTCAGGAGAAATGGTTGGCCAGGCCATTCTCATCATCGATCCGGTCTCAACACAGATGTCATTCCTGTCTTCAGGTCCAAACCTCATACACACTCTCACACAGTCCACAAGACAACTTTGAGATTCACTTACTATCAATCCATCGTTCTACGTAACCACGACGGCTAAACAGTTATATATTTACTCTAAAAATCCCAATCATGCTTTAATCATACAACCCTAATAAGCTAGTAATAACACAACACCAAACGTCACAATCATCAACCAGCATAAAAAAAACTCTCTAATGATCTCAATGCACTTATACCAGGTAAACGACTCCATACCATCATTCGGTTCAATTCTTACTTCTCAAAACACACAATACGACTGTCTCATGCCTGAAACCTCAAAATCAAAATCAATCATTCCCATTATTCCTCAATGGAATCCCACATTCACTTTCTTTGATCACGTAGTTCTAAGGCGACATCGACACTTGTCCTCAAGACATTGCTCGAATCAAATGCCTATAAAAACATCTGAATACATGACTCACATCACATCATATCATCTAACCATCCTCAAGCTTACAATTCACGACACACCCCTAGCCATCACCACTAGTACCATACACCATAAACACACATTCCTTATTCGGCAGCTCATGCCTCACACACTACTAGTCAAGACCACTCTCAGAACAAGCACCACTAAAACCAAAGAACCGACCTCCCTCTGTGGGAGTGAGTCGACTCTTACAACCAAATCTTTACGCGAAAACTCTAACAGCATAACAAACCACACATAAGTCCGTCCATCCGCGGACGCGCACAACTCCTAAATGGAGAACAAGAATTACGACAAACGAAATCTTTGTCAGGACTAGAACAAATGGAAAGGGTAACAAATCCTGCTCTCATAAGAGACTGACGACTTACACCTGAATGCAACCGACACCTTGTCACATGCTACACAACAACTGTCCAACCATGGACACCCAATCTCGCCTGAGATGAACTAAACTCCTTACACATAAAGAGAGGAACCAAATGGATACCCGTACAGAACTACCAACTCAATTCTAGGTGACCTCGACACTAATGGATCGTCACACACTATCAACACAGAAACCTCGCATACGATACCCCGCAACACCTATGCTAACCAAAACCAACCAGAAAAAAGCATTAATACCCACAACATATTAACACTAAGAACAATCAATATACGTTGGACACCACGTCCTATTCCATCAAGAACCCGTCATTCCCAAATGACAACCCATATGCCATAAAATGACACTTTACCACCCTTTCCATCACTACCTTCCCAAACGATACTGCCTCGATCACCGTGTACACTCGACTTGTGACCTCAGTCACAATAACCTACTGACTCGTCAAAAGAAAAAGGTGTCTATCTGGTAACATTTTCCTCACTGGCTCTAAAGACTAAGCTGCTCACCATCACCTCGACTGAAGCACCCCCATCACCTACCTGACAACATACAACAACAACTCATACTCTCCAATCCACCCTCTGATCATACCTCAAACCATTCTGCTTATCAATACTAAACATCTTGCCATAACGCCTCTACTACCATCATCCTCGAATGACAACTCAAACCTCTCACCTTACCAGATCACCAAGTCACCACCAAACAATTCTTCCTATAACACTATCATAACAAAAGAATAAGCATTATTCTCAATACCTCCTACAACAGCCACTACTTGCCACTAGAAAAGAATCTTTATATAGCAATACCATTCCGACAAATCCCAAAGGAAAAATGAGCGCAAAAACCAGAATGCTCAACATCAAAATGTCTCCTCAAACCATCTACAACACAATCAGTCACCAACACTTAATCGACTACTCCGACCATTCTTCTCAAGAAAATTTATGTGCCTAAGTAAGATAACTTCACTCCATTGGTTTAACATCATTACCTCTCCTCTTCACCATTCCTCAGAACAGTCTTGATCCTGAAAAAAGTCAAATGGGGCTACTAACTAAACCTACGGGATCACCCTCGTCTTAATCATTCTAATCATCAGTCTATCTCTTTGAATCCTTAAACAATAAGTACTACCTCCTCGTACCCCAAACACAACATAAAACTCAACTCCAGTCCACAGTTTACAACTTCCAAAACAAAGTTCATTTGGTAGCACAATACTTACCATCAATCACTTCATCCGCAAATGACCAAACATACCAATGACCCCATACTACCTGCCTTATCATGCAATCCCACACTACACAGCTAAAACTGACTATTATACCTCACATTGTGACTCTCTCGACAACCATGACAACCTATAACTCCGCTAATCCACCGAGCCATGCAATCGACCCACCGAGAATCGATTACCCGTAGCACACTCCCGCAATTTTTCAAAATGGAAAATCACCCCTCAACCAACCGTAACCAACACACTTTCTTAAATCGCGCCAAAACACCCGTAATACACATCTGCAATCCATAAACTACATTCGTGACTCAAACAACTTCTGTCACACCTACCACGACCGGTTCGAAAAGAACCTCCGCACCAAACTGTGACTCAAGTCACAAACACTAACTTCCTAAGGCATACCTTTCTCTTTCGAAACCCTCGCGATAAGAACCGGCACCCCAAATAACTCTAAAGCAACCGAGCCCCTCGCCTACTCAGCTCAAAACCCACACAACCATCCATGCTCAACTGCATACTCCTATACTTGTATGCATATATATATATATATAATAACTGTATCCCATACCATGACACAATCATATCTCATCATTTAAATTTATTTATTTATTTCTTTTAGACACCCCGTCTTCCATTTAAAAAAAAAAAATACTTGTATAACCATACCTAATAACCGTCACAATATCAAAGGAGACATGCTTGCACCTACTGTACTCATTACTTGCCACATTATCATTTAAAATAAAACTGCACACACCATGCCTACTACTTGTCGTTACCACCTAAATTACACTTGTCATCATATCATAATTAATAGGGTAAAGTGCAAAAAACCCCTTTCAACTATTAGCCATATGCAATTAACCCCCCTGAACTACAATTTGCCCCCTTGAACTATTGAATTTGGTGCAATTGACCCCCAATGTGACATCTCCGGCCAATTGGTGTAAACGGAAATAGTAAAAGATAATTTTACCCCTGTATAAAGCCACGTCGTTTCAAAAAAATTTAGCAACCACCAGCTAAAAAAATAAATTCTGAAAAAAAAAAAAAATCAGGCCATCGCCGTGAGTCAACCATGGCCGAACCAGCCCATCACCGTTCAGCCCACCATTCGAGCTCGTCCCCACTGCCGTCTCTTCATCCGCAAGCTCACAGCCGAAGTCACAACCAGTTCATCGCCGTTCAGCCGCAACCAACCCATCACCACGAGTCAACCATGGCCGAACCAGCCCATCGCCATTCAGCCCACCTTGCTCGTCGGTCCTCTCCACCATCCGAGCTTTATCCCCACAGCCATCGCTTCATCTGAGCGCCGCCGAGTCATCCACAGCCGAGCCACCGCTGATCCAGCCCGCCGATCCCACCGCTACATTTCGCCGCTGCCGCCACTTCACTGCCGGTCCATTCCTCGCCAGAGTCACCATCGCCGTCCGGCCCCCCACCGGACGAATCACTATTCCTCCCGATGGACCAAAGCATACAAATAGAGACAAACAGAATTATACAATCATCAGTTTGTGCATATATATGTATATAGAATTACAGAAACGATATAGAGAGAGAAAAAGGAGAGGAGAGAGAGAGTGCGAATAAATTGAGGAAAATAAACCCTTATCCTCTGAAGTGAATTCTGAGTTGTGATATTTGTGGTTATCGGAGTCCAAGCTTGTGCACCTCATGGCCAAGAGTCATTCGTCTACACAACCTGCCTTCATCGGCTCCGCGCCGACCAAGAGCTCATCACACAGCCGCCAGATCTATTCTCACAGCTCTTTTCTTGTCTCCTCCAGATCCGCCACGAGCTCGATCCACCATAGCCGGATCTGTTCTCACTGGCTTTTCACTGCCATCAACATCCTCAAGCTTGCCGCGCTGTAAATCCAAGTCCAAGACCCAGATCTATCTCGCCGGTCATTTCCATTCTCACAGCCGGATCTGTCTCGCCGGCCATCTTCATCCTCGAAGGTGTAGTTGGGGGGACGGACGGGACGGTGGAGATGGTATCGTCTGTTTTATTGACGATGAACAGTGTATATTTAGTATAAGGGCGTGTTTGGGTGTTTTAAGTGGTTTTGGGTGTAAAGGTAAAGGATTGTATGGTCATTTAAAGAAATTTGGTTTGTCACGTGACCCATCACGTGCGTCTTCACGGCCAAAGTCAACCGGCTTATCACCGGAGGGGGTTAATTGCACCAAATTGATTAGTTCAAGGGGGTTATATGTCAAATTAGTAGATCAGGGGGGTTAATTGCATATGGTCAATAGTTGAAGGGGGTTTTTTGCACTTTACCCTAATTAATATGCTTTTAATTATTTATACATTTCATCGTCATGACTATATAATACACATTTTAGCAATTAAACATGTAAGCATGTGAACACTTAGCAAAGAAGTATGTCTTTTAAAACCGTAAACACATAAGCAATTAAGCATGCTTCTTAGATAACAAACACTTTAACACATTAACAATGCAATCCACCTTCCACATAACCGTAGGTATTGCTCTGATACCATTTTGTAACAACTCGAACCCGAGGATGGTCCTTATCCGAACCCGAGGTCAATTAAGGGCACTACCGTCCTTTTCTATGTCAATACATAATACGATTAATAATAATAATAATAATAATAATAATAATAATAATAATAATAATGATGATGATGATGATGATGCGATCATAGCCATAAAATATGTCGAAAACAGTCCACTAACCTGTCAAAACCTATGGAGGAGCGTCGTCCGCCACTTCCCTTTCGTATTCTGAAAAATATTAATAATAAAATGGGGTGAGCCAACCACTCAGTAGGAAGTGTCTAAGACACACCTCTTACGACCCCGTGAATCCATACAAGGAATAGAATACAGGTAAATGGGATCATGCCTCGGGGTAAGCAAGTAAAGCAACGGTGATATCAACAAATACATACGCAAGTCGTCTAACCACCAAATGTACAATGTATGCCAATGCAATGCTATGCCATGCAATGTCGCTCCCCATTTCCAAAACAATACCGTTTCAACTTCCAAACCGTTAGCGCAATCCAACCCAAGGCACCTTCAAGGCGTCACGAATGGAGGGTTGACTAACTATCCACGACCACAAGGCACCTCCAAAGCATCGCATCTGGCCTAGTTAGCTCAACCATACTCCCTTCTCGACTACACTAACAACACGGACCACTAGGCGCCTCGTAGGCGTCCGGTTTTCGCAAACACCTTTAAAAATATTTTCTCAAAAATAATTTCATTTATTTTTAAAATAAACTTTTCCCTTTAATTTCCCAATGGTAATGCATATATTATGCAATTCCTTCAATGCTATGACAATATAAAAATTTCGTACATATCATCCACATCAATTAGACATGTTTAAAATATGAATTTCCACACAATAGCACATTCTCACATTTCTAATTCATCGCATTTTATATACTTTCAATTTGCAAATCCAACAACTTAAATACATAAGGCTTAAATTAACATCATTTAAGCATGTATCATTTCAACAACGCGGCTATCACATAAACACACACTTTCTACAACATAAAAAAAATCATGTATACAATATATATATTACATCTCAAGAATTTAGCACAATATAAGCATGCTTGTACATCAATTAAAAGAGATTTACTCACAAAGCTCAAAGAAATGGGTATTAGAACACCCCTACCTCAATTTTGTAGAAAACCCTCAAATGGGTTTAAATTTTCGGAATTCTTAGAGTGGCCAAAAGCTGAAATTGCTTACATCAACTTGAAGATCTCACCGAGCTCTTCGATTTGCCGCAAAAGGCACCCAAAAACTCCAAGGAATAAAAGAGAAATTGAAGCTTGAATTTTGCAAAAGAAAAAAAAGAAAAAGAAAAAAGAAAATAGAAAACAGAAAGGAGAAAGAGAGAACCAAATCGGGATAGAGAGAGATAAGGTGATAATGCCCTTTTGGCCAATAAAAGCAATTATGATGGGTCCCACCACTTTTTTTTTTCTTTTTATTTTTTAACATTAATTCTACACCACACACACACACACACACATATATCATAAATATTTCAAAAAGTGAAGTGAACGAGAGAAAAATTAGTTTTCTAATATTAATTCGGTTAAGATGAAAATTTATCTAAGAAAATTATAGGAAAATATCATGTTAAAGTTTAGATAGCTAAATTGTCCTTATTTTATAAAAATTGTAAAATAATAAATAAAAAAAATTAATTAGTAGTATGTACATAAAAAAAATGATGGAGTTTTCAGTTAATTTAGACTTTGTAAACTATATACTATTTATTTCATTCATAAATAATGGAAATCAACTAAAAATGAAAGTCAAGTTAAGTAAAAACCTATCAGTGATAAAGTTAAGCCTAGTAAAAAAAAAATACAATAAAGTTGTTGTGTAAAATAATGCAATGAAGTTATTGGATAAAATAGGAACACAAAATAAAAAGTTGATATAATTATGCATGTGACATACTTCTTAGGATTTATTTCAAAAATACCCTCCAATATGCCCTTTATTACCTCTCTCCCCATGTAAAGCATTTTGACTTTCTTTATCACTATCAAACCCATTTGCCCATCTCTCTCTCTCTCTCCCCATTGCCCATCATCTCTCTACTCTCTTCCCCTGGTCAATTTATATATAAACATACTATTACTACTTTTACTAATATTGATTCCTTTTTTTTTATTTTTTAACCCTAGCTAGTAATTTAGTGTAGTTCAGGAGCTCTGATTCGTTAAAGAGAATCAGTAACATGTAGAGGACAAAAAATACTACCTCTGTCCCAATTTAAATGTCGCGTATATGGAGCAGTAATTTTTAAGAGGACATGTGGGACATACATTGTCTACTGAAAAAATTACTAACTTGTTTTTTTAAGTTTGAAATATTTAAGTTTGAAATTCTAAACTCAAAGGACATATACGTGAAATATATTGTTTGAAAAAGAAAAGTGTACTATTATTTTGGGACATACAAAAAAGGAAAATATGACACTTATTTTGAGACAGAGAAAGTTGAAAAAGTTATTCCTAATAAGCAAGATAAAATAATAATAATAATAATAATAACCAAGAGAAAATTGGGAAACTAAAGAAATTTAGCATTCAAACTCGTGAACAGAAAATCATAAAAACATGAATGGCCAAAAATCTTGTGAAAAAAGCACCAAAATAAAAACTTAATAAATTGTAAGAAAACTCCAATTCTCGAAAGATCAAAATTCAGTCATGGACGATTTCAAGAGATTTTTTTTGGAAAATTTGCCCCTGCATTAGGACTATGGGTGCTCCAACAAACCAACTCCTTCGGCAATATATATATATATATATATATATATATATATAAACCAACACCATCTCATCAAGAAAAAAAAAAAAAGGCAAACCTATTTGCGGATTTTAACATTTAACTTGCAGTGAACAAAAAATTAAAATAAAATGAACTCAATAACCCAAAATCTAAATAATAAAAAAATAATAATTTTTTTTTAATCCAAACCAATCTCAGACACATGAAGGTTCAAACACACATAAGCATCAAACCTGATCGAGTAGTGAACGGTTCATGATTTGCCTAAGATGGTGTATCAGAAACTAAAAAGGCTATTTAATTAACTATTAAGATCCTTATTTGCCAGAATTGGATCACAATTTGGTAGAGAAATACATATTGTTCTTGATAAATTGCAAGTGGAAAACTTTCATTTTTCTGTATGATGTACGAAAGTTACTGGCCGGCGACTACTCAATTGTTCGAGCGCAATCCAGTGGTGGTTGGTTCCTGCATATGTATTGTTGGAAGCTTTTGTATTACACACACACAAGGGCATTTATGTTACGTAACATTCTTTATTTTTTTTATTTTGTATAATGAAAAGGGGGTAAGTTAGTAATTGTACATTAACAATAATCGGAAAGCAATCGGGTCTCTATCAGAGCAAAGTACTCACTTTCAGAACTACCATGTACTATGAGTAATTTGCTCACCTTTTTAGTTCAGAGCGTATTTTGCTTACTTGTTAAAAGTTTAGGAGAGTATTTTGCACTTTTCCTTAGCTTAAACTTAAAAATGTAAACCCATAAATGTAAGGGTAGGGTAAAGTGCATTTACCCATTGACTCTCACAATTTTGAAGTAAACCCCCTTTTATTATGTTTTTTTTTTTTCCCCCACAAAACCCCCTCAACTAACTAAGAGGGTTGTTTTTTGAATTTTTTTACCAAAAATACCCCCGCTAACCAAGATTTTTTTTTGGGGTGGGGGGTGGGGGGGGAAGGGGGGCTAATAGCATGTAGTTACACTATGAACTATGAATTTTAATTTTTTATTTTATTTTAATAATATTTTTCTTTTATTAAAAGTTTGTTGATGTATGTAAAGAAAGATATATGTTCAAATATTATTAATCAAGAAATAAAAAGAATAGAATCTTTTAGTTAAATTCATACAATTAGGCAAATTATAAAACCCCCTTTGGTTGGTGAGGGTATTTTTGGAAAAAATTCAAAAATAACCCCTTGAGTTGGTTGAGGGGTTTTTTGTATTTTTGGCAAACAAATAATAAAATGAGATTTACTTAGTATAAAAAGGGTGAAAGTCAAAAGAGATTAAATACACTTTATTCTAAATGTAAATAATAAGTAGAAAAACAACCACCACCACCTTGAGTGAAACTAATTTTAATTAAAAAAATTCCAAGCAACTATTGAACGATTACTCAAATTTTATTTAACCATATTTCTTTCTAAAGGACTAACATGCCAGAAGACTCTAGGATTTATTTACCAGATCCATAATTTGTATGGCTGCGAGTACAATTGTCACTACAGAAAATTTAACATTTAGGAACGTCAATGGATCTCTCAACCTGTATTTCAGCTCAGCATACTTCTTTTTAAGAAATCCGGGACGATAATCATTCACTTTCTCCAAAACATGGGAATAGCAGAACTTTCTACGATTAATGGCCACGTTAGAGCACAGCTTGTTAAACATAGCAGAAACTGATGCATCATCAGCTAATCGATTTTCGATGATTCCATAGCTACGAAGTGCCTCAACATCCTTTGCAGAATCAATGAGACAATTCATGAAGGTTGCATAACCAGTCACATAATTCTGGCAAAAATTCTGATGGTATTGCTCGTATGCAATGAGATTTCTAAAGAGACACTCTGTTTCGTCATTAACTGTTATGGATGGAATTTTCATAATCTTCTTTCGGAACCTTATGTCGAATAAAGAAGTATTCACCGCTTTTCTGAACTTAATGCCAACCCTCTCGAGCTCTGTTGTACTTTTTATCAACTGCAATTTATCTTGATTTCCAACGTTTCTATTCGGTGCCATTTCAGCAAAGGAAGGACTCCAACGATGATGCATGAGGCCTAGCAGATGATCAAAATTATCAATTGAAACCCTAGTGGACGCTTGTATGCCCTTTGAGCATGGTAATTTTCTGCCCAAAAAGTTCAAAGCTATCTCAGCTATGTCCATATCGTTCATGTGATCATCCGAATGCTTGGTCATGTTGAACAGCTGAACAAGAATAAACAATGGGAGTTGATTTTCAAACAAAATCAGATCGCGTCCTAATATATTCTTGATCCGATCAATCTGGAAAATAGGATCATCTTCATCTACTAGTTCTTTCATCTTCGTCTTGCGCAAAAACTCAATGATAAAACAACCATCAACGAGCATCATTTCTACAAACTTATCTTTGTCTAGACTGATCGGTTCTGCATAACAACTACGCGCTTCTTCTTCCAATGCTCTCAACTTTGCAACATATTTGTCCACACTAGACTCGTTTCTTCGTTGAAGAAGTTGTTGTAGGTACTTTGATTTGTGTTCTTCCATTCTTTCCAAGATTTTTTTGCCATGGTGATAAGGACCAATGGCAACCATAGCTGGTTCGTAGGCCTTCTCATTTACTGTGCGTAGTAGATCATCAACTCTGAAGATATAGGGCTTAAAGGGTGTACGAGAGAGGACATGATTTGCTATTCTTTGGGCCATGTTTATATACAAGAAATAGTGTATCTGTTTCACAAAGAAATCACTAATCAATATTGGAAAGAATAATATAATTCTCATGTTCAAGTCCAAGTGTACAAAACTAAAGTCTTTTAAGTTACAAGCTACAAAGCTAAGTAGGGATTAAGGAAATTAATAATTAACTACTAATAGGTTGCTTTAAATATCTAATTTTTCCTTTCTTGTTTTTTCTCAAAATTAATATATATTACATTACTAGAATAATGATTTGGATGTTTAAAAAATATAACATCTCAATGGTTTAAGTTACAAGCTTTGACTGGACTTCTTGTGATGTTTCTTCTACTAAGGATGTTATTTTCATTGGAACTAACACTATTCACCTAGACTTGTAGGTAGCAGCCTTGAAGATCAAAGTATCTAACAGCCTTTTGTGTGTGTCATATTAAGATATAATTCAACTTAGTCAAATATTAAAATTTAGGAAAATGGTGTAGGCAATAGGATAACTCTGATTAAATTTTGTGAGGCTGACTAACACCATTATGATGTCATTAATATTCCAAATATCATAACAACATGAGCCCGTACTTGCATAAAATTCGTCAAAAATTTTCTAACTATTAGACTATCTATCATTACTTTAAATTTTATAAACAGATCAAGAAACGTTTACTGCCATTTTGGCATAATAAGCTATAGTTTTCCCATATTCATTGAATCATACAAATTTAGAACTGAATTATACTAGTCACTCTTAATAAGCAAGTCAACTAAAAAAATGCCAAACAAAACTGACAAATAAACATTCGCATTGATTTTATATGAAGACATCTTATCTTAATTACCTGGATTTTGTCCATCAGGTTTTTCAATTTAAAATAAAAAATAAAGAATTTCAAAAACGAAATAAGACCAGGACCATATTATCCTGTAGAATACCTGCAAGTACAAGAACTATAGAAGTGTGCACAAAGTGGCCTTGAATTTGTTCCAAACGCCACCAAAGTTGGGAAGTTAATTCTCAGATTGATCTGCAATATTCAATTTATGACAAAGGGTTAAGGGATTTTAATTAGTAAATCGAAAAGATAAATTAAGATATACAAGAACTGTAGAAATGTGTTAAAAGAATAATGAAGAACGAACTTGATGTGAAGATCACTGAAATTTTCTCTCCAGAGAAAAGCACTGAGACACCTAACATTTGTGTTTTCTTTATTGTTTTGTTCTTTTTAAATATTAAGGTCTACTTCAACAATACCTTGGGGAAAGAAAGTCGTCTTCAACACGTGATGTCTATGAGGTACTAGGTATAGAAAAATGAATCCAAATATAATATATATATATATATATATATGTCTGTGTGTGTGTGTGTGTGTATATTTAGCAGGAAGTTTGGTATTCAGAAATTTCAGATACATAGTACTAAGCTAGTGTGGGATTCACTTTCACATTAGCATTCCAGAGCTGTACTGGCCTTGAGAAATTTAAAATATTCCAGCTAACTTCTAATATATGGCTTGGGAGGGTCGGTAATTTATGATCTTTCTCTTTATTTCAACTTAAAATATTTTATTTTATTTTATTTTATTTTTTAATATTTGGTTGTATAACCTTTCAAAATTTGGTAAAAAAATTATATAGTAAAATATATTTGATTAATAAGCAAAACACTGGAGAAATGAATTACGGATTCTGTAACTTGTTTTGACAATGATTGTAATGCTACACGTGAATTTCTTTTGTCCTATCCCATTTGGAGAGCAACAACTAGAGAATTATGAGAAGGAAAAAACATTAATAAAAAAAAAAAAAATTGGTCTCCAAAATGGACAGAATAGCTTATAGTACCATATGCAATTTCTTCTCATTTTAGATTTAAAAAATGAGTGTATAAAATACATTTTAGATTAGACTTGTTTTTTCTGGTTAAACAAAGACTTTGTTTTCTTGGATGACATGAGTGTATAAAATACATTTTAGATCCGACTCATTTTTCTGATTAAACAATGACTTGTTTCCTTGAAGTCTTTCAAGTGCCTTCAAACTTTCAATGTGAAAGGAAGTTAATTACAATGTAAAGCCAACTGTGAAATTTTTTTCGTATATATCTTAACATAATTGAGACTTTTCAATTTTGTTTGGAAGTTTGGTCATAGTATAATACTATTTCATTAAGGTTGACTGGTGAAAGTATGGCCCTATTGTATTAACAATCCATTTGGAATATTTTGATTCTTTGATTTTTGTTTTATATGTTTGAAGAGAGTTTAAAAAGTAAATGCAATAAAAGCCACTAGCAATGGTTTATGATTTTACATAATTTTTTAAAATGGGCGTGTTGCGCGTTCACTTCCCTGCTTCGTGTACATTCTCACTTTTATAATCCTACATTATTTTATATGATATTAATTTTATCGCTTTGGTACCTCCTCTCTTCAAACTCCTTATTTAAATTATATGTTAATTTGGGGTGATTTTATATGTTTGTGCCGGACAAGAAAATTTTGATAAATTTTGGTAATTATTGTGATAAATTGTATAATTTCATGATAAGTCTGGTTCCAAGACTACCTAATCGTGTGTGTATATACACACACACATACATACACTAGCATTATGTAAAAGTTCATGTGCTCACTTCGCTATCATTTTTCTTAGCTGGCATCAAGCTTTTGTAAAAGGCGACCAAAATCCGGTTGACTCGGCAGGTGTACCTTAAAGACTTTTATTATAGCACATGCATACAAGATATACACACACACACATACATACAAGATATACACACACACACATACATACACTAGCATTATGTAAAAGTTCATGTGCTCACTTCGCTATCATTTTTCTTAGCTGGCATCAAGCTTTTGTAAAAGGCGACCAAAATCCGGTTGACTCGGCAGGTGTACCTTAAAGACTTATATTAAAGCACATGCATACAAGATTTCTTATGGGTAAGGATATTCTAGAAAAAAAGTTTGTGTAGACGCAAGAATAAAATACTTGGTATAAAAAATATTTGACGTTTTGGACAAGCATATAAATATTAAATGATGATATAAATAAATTATGATTACTTTCATGATAATTAGCAAAAATACACAGTTATCCATGATTTTAAAAAATTATACTACAAAATCATTTAATTTTTTAAAGTTGACTGACAGTCCGTTTACATAATTTAGCTTCATCATAAACTAAAATTTATAATATTCCTCTTTTACAGTGGTTACAAATGTAAAGACCTCAATCTGGAGAAGGGAGTTTGTTCTGGTCTAGGTTGGGGACCTGAGGTTATGCTGAAGGTGGTGACTGGACGGTTTGAGAATTGAGTACTGACTGGTAAATAGTGAGATTAATTAACTATTCTGTAATCACAAATGTTCATACTTGGTAGATTAAACTCTGCAATTGCCATAATCGGTGTCAAAACTATTCCGATCAAGTTATATTTTTAATGTTTAATTTCTAGAAGCAAAATAGTATTACCGAGAAGCATGCAACCACCCCTGATTCAAAGAGAATATTAATCAAGATATGAGTGTTAGGGGTGTAACTTTGGTTGGGTAACCCGAACCCAATTCGAGTCCAGTTTGATTTTTCACGAGTTTGGACAATCATTTTTACAATTAAAGTTAAGCTTGAGTTGAAAAATCTCAACCCGAATTTAATTAGGGTTAACATTCTCCCCCACCCAAATTCACACAACGCCCTCGTTGCGGTTATGATTTGACCACCCTGTCTGCCCGGGGTAAAAATCCGAATGCCTTTCAGGCGAAGTACTTAGCGTGACACCGGATTAAGAATTGGGTCTGGCTCTAATACTAATTATAACAGGTGGACAATTACCCATTTACCCAAAAGCTCAAACTATTAGCTAATATTACATACCCATCCATTTATACCTAATCATTTTTCCATTCGAATCCGTCGTGAAACAAATGACCCTTTTTACAGCTATTGTTCTTGATTTGATCCGTTCCAAAACCAACAAGAGATGATCGATACCAAGCAAAATTTGTCTCAAGATGAAGAAATGCTCATGTTTAGAAATTTTTTTTTTTTTGTGATAAAAATAAAATATATTAATACAAAAAGGACTATCAGGTGCTAAAGCCCGAAAATAGGAGTGGTAGAGGTAAAATGTGGCTTTAAAACTAGATATTAGCAAGATAAACCCATATAGAATGAATAAACCGATATTAGCAAGATATACCCATATAGAATGAAACAGCCTTTTAGCGCACTTATATCCAAATGGTTTTGCCATGGAGCAGATTAATTTGGTTAGAGCTAATTGTGCTCGTCCATCTAGAGACAGATCTATCTACTAATTTAATTTCTAATACTTTTTATTTCGTAAAAAAAATAATAAAAAAGTTATATGAAAAAGCTAACTTTTTTTTTTTTTGAAATGTAAAGATAAATTTCATTGAAGAAAAAGGATACAAGGCTAGCAATAGCTAACCAGATAGATGATGGGCCAAGCCCACAAGAACATACAAACATAGATAAAAGAAGAAGATAGCCCACGAATTAGGCCCATACTGGAGTGAGACCAAAGCAATGGTAGACCGTTAAGACTACCCCAAATTCCAGTACAAAAGAGAACAACTCAATCAATTTAACGTCACCGTGCCTGATCCGGAGGCTCTCGAGGGGGAAGCGGTGGATGGATTATGGTGATAGGGATGTCCCATTCTTCTGCAATCCTTGATGCATTTGGAGTATCTCTAATTGTGGAAGTGAGAAGTTTGCTCCTAATTGAATATAGGGTTTGGTGGAGCAGAGCATTGGTTGTGATGACTTTCTTTTGAAAGATTCTTCTATTTCGTTCAGTCCAAGTTTGGTAAACCAGTGTTGCCAAGCTCAACTTCGAAATAATGTGGCTATGGGAGTTCGAGATGCCTTTCTAGTGGTGAGCTGCCCAAGTGATAAGGCTAGACCATGATGATGGTTGAATATGGAACCCACATTGAGCTTGAAGAAATGTCCATAAAGGCTTGATGAATTGGCATTGGAAGAAGAGGTGATCATGTGAAAAAGCGAACTTACTAAGGTCATGTGGTGTGAAAACTAAAACATTAAGCTGGGGAGGTTACTTATGGGTTGTGACTTCTTCAAATTTCATATTTTAATTTTAAAAATAAATAGTTTAAAAATTGTAGGATTAGTAACCAAATGTTTACAGCTCTATTAATAATTAATTTTTAGTAATGGAGAGATGTGAGCTATGAATATGAACCATAGGCTAATTATTGTATGTGTGTATATTAATAAAAGAAATACATTAAAGTATATATATCAAATAAAAAAAATTAAAAAATGTTAAGAAATAGCTTACATTTTAAGAAAAATAATAAAAATTTAATAATAGAGAGATAGGATTTGTGAATACGACCCATCAATTAATATTGTATGTGTGTATATTAATGAAAGCAATAAATTAAAGTGTATATATCAAATGAAAAAATAAAATAAAATATGTTAAAAAAAAAAAAATTACACTTGTAAAATAATATAGATATATATTGAAGTATAACATTTTTCCTTATCTTCAAAGTTGTAGGTGTGGTCCTGATGTGTTTCTTGTTACATGCACTAATGTTTTTCAAAAGTCATGGTGAGACATGGTACTACACAACAAATATTAGGTTGTTAGACAATTTTTTTATTTTTATTATTTTTATTTTTGAAAGTTAAAGCAGTGGTAATGGAGTATTACAAATATTAAAAAATGTCAAACAGATGGGCCCAATTTCAAAACTCATAATGAAACATGGTACCGTTGCACCACAACACAACAAATATTAGGTTGTTAGATATTTTAGTATTATTATCATTCTTATTTTGAAAGTTAATAAAGTATTGGTAATGGAGCAATATAAATATTGAAAAATGTCAAACGCGTGGGCCCAAAATACAAAATAATGTGGTCATGCCGTATTTCTTACCACATCATCATATGCGTCTCGAAACGCATAGTGAGAGACATGTACACAGCTAAACAGCAAATACGAGTATTTGTTTGTTAGGCTTTTTTTTTTTTCTTCTTTTTTTTTTTTAATTATTTCAAAAATGTAATACATAAATAGGGATAGCAACGGGGGCGGGTTTGGGCGGGTGTACCCTCCCACGCCCCCACAACCGTTTAAAAATTCGGCCCCCGTCCCACCCAAAACCGCAAAAATAGGGTATTTTTCACCCCATCCCCGTAACCGTTTAACATTTTTACCCCCGCGGATACCCGCCCCGCCCCTTTTAAAACCATAATTTATTTATTGTTGAAATAGAT